AGGTAGGGCGGAGGTGCGCTGGGACGTAGCGTGAAGTGAGGTTTGGCGCGACTCCCCGGGGCAGAGCCGTGGGACGCCCTTAGGGTTGTCCAACCCCCACTCACACTGACCCCCTCTGCCGTGGGATTAGGTAGATGGGTAGTTGGAGAGGGCGAAGAGAAGGAGGAGGGAGCAGGAAGGATGCGAGAGACGCTGTAGTACATCGAAAAAAGTAGAGAGTGGAGGTCGGACGGGTAAAAAAAGAAGAAGACCCGTAGACACCCTTGTTGCTGAAAGTAAGGGAGAACAAAACTTGCGTCTGGACCACGAGGCGTCTTTGTCCTGAACGTGGTACCCTTCGGTTAGTTCGTAGAACGAGAAACCGAAAAGACGAAAACAGAGAAACGAAATTTAGAGGAGGAGGAGGAGGAGGAGGAGGAGGAGGAAGGGGTGGGGGAGAGAGATGAGAGGAAGGAATTTTGAAATGACCCATAAATTAAATGAATCTTGAAAAAAGCCAGAGTTGAGTAATAACGTTGTAATGAAATAATACAATGGGATTCTGGTTGTTTCTTATTTTTTGTCCAGATCATGGAAAAGTTACTGGCATTTTTCCATGTCCAACAATTCATTTTTTTCTGAAAAGACAGAAATTCATCCACTATTGTATCTTATTTATAAATATAATTGAATTATCTCAGTAAGCTGAGGACAATGAAGAATGTACAGGATCTTAGGCCTCTGGCTGGAGGATGTTAGATTGACCTGTTAACTACCAAGTGCTATGTTGTGTTTAATCACTCATTTGATTTGATCTGTGTAAGGCTGCCTTGTAACAACATAGCTAAGTACTACATTCTTATCTTAAGTAGCAAGTCAGGAAGTAGTAAGACACATTCTGCTGCTGCGTGTCAAAAACTTGCAAACCCACATTGATATTAATCTGTACTTGTGCAAATGTTAACTCCAATAGTGGCTTAAATCTGACAACTGAAGGTTAAGCAAAATGACAAACTGGCTTGAAATTGAGCTAAAGAGTGTGTGTCCGCTCCACTGGGCAGACAACATTTGACCAATGTCATATTGCTGTTCTGATTCATCTCGTCACAGCAGACCCTAAGGAGTCAGATTTGCTTTGATTCCAGTGCAGCCCTAATGCATCCTGACAATATAATTTACTTGGAGGCATTTTTCCCCAAGTGTAACAAATATTTGTGTCCAAACAGTTATGCTGCACTTCAGTCACTGTCTCACCAAAAGGCAAACAACATAAACTTAAGTAGAATAAACTTGCTTATTCGTGTGACAGCAGTTTAGCTAAATTGGGAGTTGTTTCTAGTGTAATAGAGAGCTGTTATTTCATATTTTAACTGTAACACAACTGTTGATACCAGCAATGACACCGTTTTTATAATAGATTCCTTTCAAAGTTGACATGTTTTAGTCGAGGCATCGTGGTGCAAAAGCTGCTGATACAACTGTGTAGGAGGTCTCGTCTTTTCAGGGGAAAACAACCATGGCTTGGGGAGGGCAGCAGCCAAGACATTTAAAAATCAGTGTAAAAAGAAAAAGTGCAAAGACAAAGTATTAATTAAGCGAAAGTATAAATTAAGCGAAAGAAAGCTCTCCAATGAAGGAGGGACAGAGGAGAGGGGAAAAGGTCAATTCTGCTCAGTGTAAGCAGAATGTGCAAAAATTCATCTCCGAGTCATGCGGTAAAGTTTCCAAGTCAGGTCCGTCAGTCATGCAATAAAAACAAATTCAGAGCTCAGAGGCATCCATCGCAGATAAGAGGATGAGAGGAACCAGATCTCAGAGAGGACACACTGTCCCAGAGATGCTTCACACACATCAGTCTTTAAAGTGAAAGACAAAGTACAGACCCTATTCAACATGTCCATCTGCATTCTTCATACAGTACACATGCATGTGCTGCATACCACATGCCATCTCCTTGAATAGGTCTACATGCACACACCATCCATTGCACTCAGACTGTAAGCGGGGCAAGAAGGACAAATGGAAGAAGCTGATCCCTTCTTCTATCGGTTTTAGAATCAATGCTAGTTTCAGGGTCTTCTGTTCCCTTTGCAATCCATGCACACTGCTCACACTAGTGCACAGATGTTTATCCAAACATCTCTAAAACTGCAGAGCCATGAACAACACGTAGGATGATGCATGTGTAAGTACAGCTTTAACCAAGACAACTTGGAAATTGTCAGAAGTTTCTAAATCAATTTAAATGTTTGCTTCAATTCCTGAGCAGGCTGACTTACAGGAGTTCAATCAACATACATGTTTTGGTGTTTTCTGTGGGAGACTTACCCCATCTGCACCGGGCTGGCCGTTGACCCCCAGGGTGCGGAACGGAGAGTGTGTGGACAGACGCTTGTCCCACTCACTGGGCCTGCTCTCCGGGGCGGAGGCCATGAAGGTCCTCTTCAGCTCAGTGATGCTAGCATGATGCTTGATCAGGTCCTCCTGAGGCTTATCAAACTCCTGCAGGGAGGAGAGCCAAGAGGGGACAGAGAGTGTGGAGGGGGAGGGGCAGGGGGGAGGGAGCAGGCAATTGGGCCATGCAACAATAAAAAAGGGAGAAACCATAGGGGAAGGAAAGGGCAGATGAAGGATGGGTTCGTAGTTGGGAAATCAAACGGGAGAGAATAAAGAAAATAAGTCAGTTTGTGTTGCTTTCTCCTGTTTGTTTTCAATTTGGGTTGATTTATTGTTGATTAATGAGTAAGCATCAGCAGCAGCGGCAGCAGGGTTATTTGGTGATTCTAAAAGGAACATAGGGTTCAATCATCTACATCAAAACTATGTGGATTCTTAATAGATTAACAACATATTTTCAAAATGTAAATCATTCTGGTGGCTGATTCATGAGAGCAGATTGTGGTGTATTCAAAGGAGTAAGTGCCACGATTTATCACATTTGGATGGGAAGGAGCTACAAGCTGCACATCACATAGTTAATGGTGTATTTTAAAGCATTTAGCAGTGAAGCCCTTGAAAGAACAGGCTGCAAATGAAAGAGCAGAAGACGTGATGATATGGAAGAAAGAGAAAGCCTGAGTGTGAATGATAATCTCATTTGACACAAATGAACAAAAGCAACAGCAGCTCTCATTTGGCAACATTTAGCACCAAGTTGATCTCAATTGAAGATATCGTCTGCAGAGAAAGACCTTCACTGAACAGTAACTACTTATCTTTACACAGTGTGGCGCTAAAGAGCAACTTAATGTTAAGTGTTTCTCCAAAAGTCATACCTTTTACAAATGACAGAAAATGCATATTTGTAATTACATTTCTATGGTCAAAAGCTGTAAAACATGTTTAGAATTAGATGGAGGTAAAAGAGCAAAAGCAGGAACAGGAGAATACTGATGATCTTGGGAAGAAATGTATCAAATAAAATTGTAGCTGCTGATGAAGAGTGAGAGTTTAAGGATGCAGCATCTTTGATTTGCAAAACACACAAACTATTTATTCTGCAGTAATTAAACGTGGATGCATAAAGTGAGAATCGTGCCACATGCAAGCGTGATATTAAAGAGCAGCCGTGCCACAGAGCAGGAAAACACAGATAGAGACTGACATCTCCAGAAGGGATACAAACCTCCAACATTAAAAGGCTATGTCTGATATAAATTGAGTCACCCTCAATTCTCTTAGCTCTTTTCTGTGAAAAAGAACAAAACAGGTGTGGGTTTGTTTCAGTTCCCCTGTGTGCTTGAAGATACGTTGGACATGCATACTACAACATTCACTACAGTGTTAATACAAACCGAGCTGTGAGGAGTCTGCATGCAAAATAGTTCAGGGTTAAGTGAGTATAAGAGTCGAACGGCAATGTACTGACAAACCAAAGACCCTACGGCTATAGAGGACTGCCTTAGGATATCTATTTGCACAATGAAAACAAACAAATAAAGAACCTAAAGTGAAAGAAATCAAACACCAGTAATCATGCAACTTTTTTAGTTAAGTACACAAATCTATAATCATGCATGTGTGCATTCCAGGGTTAAGAACAACAGCAAGCAATGAGAGGAAATGAATGCCTTGTAAACTCAAAAACAAATAATCTGTGTAAAAACGTATAATCTGAGGCAAGCATTTTCTCTTTTTTTCAACCATATTACTCGCTGCTTACATTTTCAAATCGACTCAATCTAATACAGTATGTTCATCCAACTTGATGTGGATTTCATTTTAGACCGAGCTGTACAGAAGCACAACATGAGAAGAGGGTGAGATTAGTGTTTTGGATGAAAAGCTTGATATCAGAATGGAGGTGGAGAGATGGCTACGGAAACGTTTACGAGGCTATGAATCTGACCTTTCGCATTCGCACCACCTCCGTGCTCGTCTCCTCAGACTCGTGCTACCCCGGGGAGGAGAGAGGGACACATGTTAGCATCCTCTGCTTGTTGGCTTTAACACTCAGATCCAGAGTGGAAACAAGTCTTGTGAGGGGCCACATGCAAGGGGCCAGTGTCTGACACTAACCTGAATGTCCCCATTGAGGGTTGCCATCAGTGAAGAGTCTACTTCTCTCTGGTCCCTCCACGCTACTGGCTACAGCAGCAAGAGAGACACAGTTCACACTCAGACCCAGAGGACAATCTCTGTTCGCTGCTTTAGTGTCTTCATTAAAGAAGACCATGAAGCAATTGCATTGAAAATAGTTTTTGAAATTTCAATGTTATCATTATCTACAACAAAAAATTCCCAGCCAATCGTTATGAGGACAAATAATAAAATAAATGGACACCAATTTTCCTGTAAGGTAAATGTTGATTACACACATACATATTCCTGCACGTACACATTTAGATTTAAATTCATCACTAACGTGAAAGACAGTGTTTAAAGAGAAATTGTATACCTTGACCACAGCCTCGATTTTTGAGGGCTCAACCGCCTCTATAGTGACCTCCAGCTTTCTTTCCTCCTTGAGGCTGGTCTTCAGTGGAGTGGAGGTCTGCGGCTGCTCCAGGATGGCAAAGGGGATCCCTGCCTCTGCCAGAGCGGCCTGGGAGAAGACCGGAGCACTGACGGGACGGGCGCCCCTCTGTGGGACCACCACTAGAAAAATACAGACAGAATTGTACGTAAATAAAAAGGAAATATGTTCAAGCACAGTAGAGGTGTTCGACGTATGCACATCCAGCTAGTCAAATCGCCCAAGTGAGTAAAATGCACAGTAAAACATCTATAAACATATAAATAAAAAAACAACACAATAGTGCATCTATGCAAGCAGCCACATCATACTTACAAGCTTCCATGTGTTCACACTGCAGGGGTATACTGTACCTCATAAGCCTTGTTTAGTCTTTAAACAAAAGGAAAACTCAGCCCTCAAGGTGGGCCAAAATCAAATATCCACAAAATGGGATGAGAGTAAAAGCATGGATTCGTTCTTGTTGGAATCCAATGAAAGATGCAAAGGCAGATGACGTTAGGCAGCAGTCCAATGCGGTTGAACAGGTGAAATTACGAGGTTAGGAAAGCGTTATTTCTTCAATGTGCAAAACATAGCACGACCAGAGGCCCTTCAGTGATGATGAATGTGCATCCAAGTCAGGGCATCCTGTGAACGGGCTGTGTTGCTTAAGCGTTTCATTGAGCGAAAAAACATGTAAGCGGTTCATCTGCAAACCACAAACCCAAACAGGTACCTGACTCTCTGAGGCCAACATCTAGTAGAACAAACCAATCATGGTGGACATGTGTTTGTGTGTGAGGACGCCTTTCCTCCAGGATCCGTTGCTCAAACTGTGGTCTCCTCTCGGATATCACAATCTTGGTTTTGGCCCCAGCAGTTGGAACTTTCACATTTGCTGGGAGCTGGAAGCGCTCAGGGACAGCAGCTAATACAAAGCAAGTGGGTATTATTGTAGAAATGAAGTACAAAATATGAACACACTTGCATTTATAGTGAAAGTAAATTCAATGACTGCTGAGTCTGTTGATACAGTAGGCTTACATCTTAGAATGATTTAAAAAGAAATCAAATGTAAAATGTTCCTATATATAGCTGTCACTTGCTCTAATAATACCTGATTTCTTCTCGGCCACATCCAGAAGGGTAAACCAATCATCTTCAACCTCTCTCACTGCTGCACTCGGTTTCTGCTGCAGTTCATCCTCCAGCTGCCACTTCTGCTCCACTATAGTAACGCTCTTCTGCGCTCTCTTCTCTATGGCTGCATACTCTTTAGCTGGTCTTACTTCAGGATGTGTGTGGAAATGTTTGTCCACAGTCACTAATGTAAAATATAAACAAAGCCTTCTCAGTGACAACAATTCTACTTAACATATATTAAACAGATGAGTTATTATATAAAAATATAAAGCGCACACACAGTAGGAGCGACAAAATAATACCTGGTTCTTTTGCTGCTACATCTAGCAGCACAAACCAATCATCATCAATCCGTCTCGGATGTGACGTCTTAACCTCCACAAACTTCACGGGGGGCCTCACGTCTTCCATGAGGTATTTTGGTTTTTGGTCAATGGCTGCCACCACTTGGACAACACGCTCAACCACAGCAACTAACATGGAGAAACAAAGTTAAATAACTCTGACGCCGATTGATGAACTATTTACTATTTATTTTTGCTATTTATGGCTGAAAGCATCAGGTGTGCGTGCAGTCGGGTTTATGTGAACCTTTTTGAAGCAAAGTGTATGCAGCAGCTTTGGCAATGAAAGGTACCTGGTGGTATAACAACAGGCTTTGCGCGGATGATGTCGAACAAACCAAACCAATCATCTCCTCCTTCCCTCTCTGACGGCAGTGCAATTCGGCTCGATCTAATTTCAGATAGATGTGTCTCATCTTGCCTGCTGTCCACACCAATTATCATCTTCTTCCATGTTCCAGTCTCTGTGGTAGACACCTCGGTCTCAAACGTCCTCCTCATATCCGGAATAATCTCAACGGGAGCAACTGACACAAACAAACAGAGTCAAAGAAGCTGAGCGCTATCCATCAAACAAAGAAAAGCTTAGCGCTGCAGAAATTGGAAAATGTCTTCAAATATAAGGTTTCAGAGAAACTTCTGATGTGGTTCGAACATATATGACGTGTACCTGATGGTAGTATGACTGTCTTTTCATGGACAGCATCAAACAGTGCAAACCAGTCATCATCTCTCTCCGTCTGAGGTCGGGAAGGCTGCAGTCTAATCGGTTCAAGATCAACCTGCTGCAACTTCTGCTCTACCCTTATCACTTGGACTTGTTGAGGTTGAACACTGGGATGAATGTAGCTTGGTGTTACCAGAGAAACTGAAAGCAAACAGAATAAATACTCAAACTCATAATCAGACACCACAATCTAAGTTCTCTAGAAATAGTTTGCGTGACACCATGTTTGTTTGTAAGATATTCTTCTATAGGAGGAACATGTGTGAGATTTCAAGGCTGTGGGTACCTGGAGGTACATAGGCACTTTCTCTGGGAACACCATCCAGCAGGATACACCAGTCATCATCTCTTTCTCTGAGTGGCCCGGACACTTCCTGCTGTCCTCTGTCCTCCCACTGCATCACAGTCTCTTTAACAAAGACCTCCTTCCTAGACTCTACTGTTATTGTTTCAGCCACAGTAGAAAGTCTTTCTTCAGTATAAACTTGAACGTCCCTGGTAACTAATGACAAACAGAACGAAGGAACATTTGTAAGACGCCTACAATAAGCTTCTAAGACTTTACGTCAGGCCTGTAGAGAAAGTCGACCATACCTGGTATGTGATAATATGATGTTTCTCTAGCGGCGACATCCAGCAGCACAAACCAGTCATCTTCTACTTCTCTTACAGCCCGCGGGAGTGCTACTACTTGCTTTTCTCCAAACACTTGTTTTATTTCTTCTACCACAACTTTTGTCTCACTCCGCTCAATAGTTGTTATTTTAACCAGAGCGACACGTTCTTCTGGGGACACTTTAACAACTTCTGCAACAGCAACTGAGACAAAAGAGATGAAAAACCCTTAGAAATATATACAGTACAGGAGATTAAGAAAAACGGTGTCCACAAAGCTGAGGATGATTGCTGTGATAACGGTGCGAATAGGGACCTTTAGCATTACCTGGTGGAACATATGATGTTTCTCTGGGAACAACGTTCAGCAACACAAACCAGTCATCTTCTCTGTGTGTCTCTGGCTGTTGTGGGATTTCTTGTATATGTCTTGGCACCTCCTCTATTATCTTTCTCTCTTCAGAAACGACTTCGATAATCTCCTCCTTGACTGCAGTTCCTCCCAGAGAGACCAAACTCTCTGCACCCATCTGGTCTCTTCCCTTCAATGTAACTGATATGGGTAGAGACGAGAGACGGTATTTTAAATACAAGGAGAAGAACACTCTCTTTGTATATTAGCACAACATAAAACCACAAGATATCCAGTTTGAAAAGCAGCACAGGGGCTTTTAGCCGTACCTGGTGGTACATATGTGGATTCTCTGGAAGCAACATCCAGAAACACAAACCAGGCATCATCTCTGGCTATTACTGGATTTTGTGGGATATCTTGAAGTCTTGGCGCCACTTCTATTGTGTTTTTCCCCTCAGAAACAACTTCTCTAATCTCCTCATAAGTCGCAGTTCCACCCAAATAGACAGAACTTTCTGCGCCCATGTGGTCTCTTCCTTCGGGCGACACTGATAAGAGTTGGGTCAGAAAAAAGTATTTCAAAAAGAATATTTTACACATTTCCTTTATATTAGCAAGCAAGCACAGAATAGAGCACTAGAGAGCCAATGTTTGACCAGAGGGTCTAAGCAATACCTGGTGGAACATAGAGTGTTTCCCTGGGGACAACATCAAACATCAAAAGCCAGTCATCATCTCTTTCAGTGACGGTCTGTGGTGGGGGGATCTCTGGTATACGCCTTATTTCCTCTTCACTTGTCTGTCTCTTTGCGACTACAATCTCAGTTTTCTGCTTAACTGTCGTAACAACAGTCTCTGAAGGGAAATATTCACCTTCATCCACCTGAGCACGGTCCACGGGAGTGACTAATGATGACAGTAAAGACACAAAATACTTTGAACATCGGGGCAAACATGCAGCGCTGAAAAGCTAGGAGAAGCAGGACAGGGTGTGGTGGATTATTCTAATTTGCAAAAACCTTTTTCCTGACTAGTATAGGTATTACTAAAACTGTAAATCATATTACTTTTAAAAGCGTTATTTCGCAGTGAGTGAGGTTTAAGAAGAATTTTCTGTATATACATGATAATTACTGTCCATTTTAATGATACAAAAAGGCTTCAAATTCCTGGATACACCAGACTACAAAGGCTATGGTTGTTGGACCCTTTTTTTTTTAAACCCGTTTTCCAATTAGGACATCTTCATTGACCACATTTGTTCTGTCAGCTATACTGTCATTACTTTCAGTAGACTGCTTTGACCTGAATAGAACCCAGAACAATACCAGCACAGACAGGCCTTTCATAAATGGCAAATTATATTTATATGCTTACTTCTCCTTTCTAATAAATCTAAAGAGGATTCAATTGTTAGTGTTAACAGCATACAAAATAGTGCTGGTGAAGGAAATGATACAGAGATTAGAGAGATTAGCAGAAGTCTACAGCTATTTGCACAATGACATACTTTACCTGGAGGTTTGGAAACGGCTTTGTACGGAAGTCGGTCAAAAGTTATGAACCATTCATCTCCATCTGCGCTCTGAGAAGGGCTGTCGGCCTGAAGCCTCTCTAGAACTTCTGCCTCAGTTTTCGCTTCCAGTATGACCGTCTTACGCCATGTCCCCTCTTTTCCTAGGGTTTCCTCTGATATTAAACCACGCAGTGCAAGCACATCTTCAACTTCTTCCTGCATCTGCCCTCTATCTTCTACAATAGTCACTCTCTTCTTAATCCTACGCTCCACGTTCCGGTGTGTTACTACCGAAGTGACGTCTGGAGATCCGGCCTTCAACTTGTCCTCCATCTCGTCCTGCCATTTCTTTTCTATCTGGCACAGCTCTTCTCTCAAGCTATCATCAGACGGACCCTCTCCTGTCATCTCTTTTTCACTCTCCTGCTTTATCTGGGACTCTTCCTCTTCAGGCAAAATACCTTTTAAAAACACCTGCTTTATCTGCTCTTCCAATTCATCCACTCCATCCTCTTTTGTCTCCATTGACTTCACAGATTTCCTCAAAACACTTTCTACTATGCGTTCAACCTGCATTCCGTTTTCCTGATCCAAATCTCCCTCTCTTAACATTTCTACCTCTTCCTTTCCCAGTTCCTCTTCTACTAATTCCTGAAGTCGCTCTGCCACCTCATCCATTTCTTGCAGTCTTTCCTCTAAACCCCTAACTTCCCTCAGCTTCCATTCCAAAACATCGGCCATTTTCAGCTGGTCTAACAAGATCTCGGTTTCCCGCAGACTCTCAAAGACCTCCTCACTGGTCAGATCTTGATCCGCCATTCGCAAGCCCTCCTCCTCCTCCTCCTCCTCCTCCTTTTCCTCCTCCTCCTCGAGCTGGAACTGAGCTTGGCGTGAGACTGGGAGGATTTAAAGGGGAAAGTAAAGCAATAAAGCATACAAAAAACTAAAACATGATTCGTATTGCAGACTGTTAATAGTTTATATTTCCTACTTGCTACATGTTCTTTCAAATTCAAGCTGAGGCAAGCATTAGAAGTGCAAATACCTGGCTGTTTTGAAAAATCAAGAGGTGAGACAAAGGGAAAAGGAGGATATCGCCCGAGCAGGGCAGACCACTCGTCCTCTTTTCCCCTCTGCTGTTGCTTGTCAGACGTCAGCTCCTGCCCTGGCAGACTGGCGGTCTGGGCGATGGTCTGAGAGCCAGTCTGCCCAGTCCCAGTGCCCTGCCATGAGACTGTGTGAACAGACTGCTCCTGCTCCTGAATGGAAATCTGCTCAGACTCCCCTCTGGCTGTGAAGAAATGACCGAGTGATGACTGTTGTGCAAAGGTTTTGCTGGGAGAGATGACGGTCATTGTGATGCTTCACAGTGCTTCAAGCGTGTTTTGGACCAAAGCGAATGCCAAGCGTTTGTACGAGACTCTTGTAATTCAAGTAAGCTCAGGTTAGTAGAAAGCTGAATGGAAGATGCCTCTCATCCTTCACAACGAGAGCAGGTGAAAACGGCAAAACTTTTGCAAAAAGTACTTTTTTACATTTTAAATGACACTGGGGCAGTGATGAGTCAGTCAGTTAAGATGACAAAACATGACAAGGTACAAGCAAATGAAAAGCCATTGTGCAACACATATCAAGCAGCAACTTCAGAAAATGCCCAAAAAATGAGGAACCTGCCTCAAGACTGAAAATGCCTGTGTGTATTTGAGTCTTCGAGGAATCCTATTATGTATTATTTTAGAGAGAGAGCTTAATGACCCTGGGATGATGCCAGGGGAAGTACTAGGTGGGTGACATTACCCACATGTCAGAGTAAGTCAGCATCCTGACAAGTAAACCATCTGTGCCGCAGCTGACAGGCAATGTGTTCAAGAGGATTAAGGGCATGATAGCAAATGAGCCAAACGAATGAGCATGTTAATATCTGTGATGAGGTTATAAAAGCAGCAAATATGCCAGAAAGCGCTGGTGCGGCTCCACACAGTTCCTGGTACCTGGGAGGTCAGGAGAAGGCTGGGGTTTGTCAGATGTCAGCATCAGCAACCAATCATCCACATCAGACCTGGTGGAGGCTGAGAGGTGTTGCAGGAGCTGGAGAGTTTCATCTCCAGCTGCAAGAGCGAAACAAGTCAGAGGGCAGCTTATCGAACCTGCACTCTTAAACAATCATTCCAACACAGGTTCGCACAGTGGTACATACCTCCATCCAGGTTACGGGAGAGCCTCTTGCTCGCCGAGCGTGTGAAGCGAGGGGCTGGGCGGTCGATCAAGGAGCTGGCCTGGCGGGTCTGGGCCTGAGTGCGCCCGCTGTACCGGAACTTAGAGCCCAAGACGAGGAAGCGGCGCGATGCGGGCGGCTCCACAGTTGGAACTCTGAAAGACAAAAACACTTCATTTTCATCCACTCAACATAATTAAATACATTTTCCAATTTCCTTTCAGTGACAGACCCACGTACCAGGAATATAAATGTAAATTACATCATTTAACATGAAAGGATTTTGCATTCCCTTAAAATTGTCAGTTAGGCAAAAAGGTCAGCAACAGCTTCGACCTTCATCTTACTAAGTAGACAAACCCTTTGAGGTTTAATTCTAAGGTCATGACCATGGGCATGCAGCTTTGCTTCTGTGGTTAAAGTGCCAGGGAGCCAATATAGGGCTTAAGCTGTTAGCCAATTATCTAAGGGATAGGAACACCTTCCAAATGACCTCTGTTTAAGAAGTGTAATTAAGAATGTGTGGTTACATTAAATGACCTGAACTCACCTGAAGAAGGTATGGTTTTCAACGCAAACTTTCCACAGCTTCTTTGAGGCTTTGTAGTTGGGCAGTTTAAAGCCAATTGTGCTTTCATACTGCTCTTGCTGTAAATGAAAAAACAAAACAATAAAGTCAAATATAATGACCTTATGTTGATGGGATTATTCTGAAGCATCGACATGCATCTGCATTTATGAACATATTGTGAACCCTGATGAATATATTGTAAACCCTGTCAATTCTAAAAGACAGTTTCTTAAATTAAAATCTTAGAAACATTTGTTATACTGTATATTACAAAAACTGTAATGCTGGAAATAGAAATGCAAGTGTACAAAATAGTCTAAAATCAAAGCCTGAATTGCAGTGTGCAAGATATTTAAGGATTATTATTCAAATGTATTAATCCTCATGCTAAATCTGTATTAAGCCAGAAAAAGATGTATATAGAGGCTTGACATACATATACATATCCATACAGCTATACAGCATTCCCATCCAGTTAAAATAATATACAAATTACAATAAAAGTGTTTTAATCAAAAAATTACATTATAATTGTAATAAATAATGTAGTAAACAAAAAAAACAAGGGAAACAATTTAATTTAGAATATAGTAAAACAATGAATGTAAAATGTAATTTCAGATGTACCTCTGATGGCCTGATTTTGATAAAGAAGCTGCTGCGTTTGTAAGAGATCTTGAGAACTTTGGGCCAAGGGAAACGGTTAATCCTCAGCTTGTCCTTGTACACCATCAGACCACTAGAGCAAACCCCGAGCGTGATGTCGACGCCATCGAGATCCTGGATGCACAAAAACAGGATGAAACAGTTAGGATATTGTAGCTCTGCACACCATCACCCTAACCCTGCACTTACAATAAACAATCACTGGGAGGCAGACTTTCTCCCACAACGGAAGACATGGAGTTTCAGTTTAAAATGAAATGAATCTCTCATTTATTCCAAAATCGGACATCAATTTTGAAATTAAAATCGGGATGCTCCTGATGTAATACAAGCGGGTTGCTGCATAATACCCACATACAGGAAATCGATGAATCCATGATCTGTTGAATTTTAAAATTCCCATGAAATACTTGCATTGTTAGATTACCAACTTGATACCGATCTAAACAGGTGACTTTATTTAAACAAAAGATACCTTCGCTTGGTGCAGGTCAACTCCGTACATGGCGAGTTTCTTGGCATTTTCCAGAAACATCAAGTCTGCCTGGGCTGGGGTCATTGCCCTGGAAAAAGACAGATCATAGTTATATTCCATTTTAATAGAATGATTATTTTAATTCCAACTCAAACTTAATGAAACTTAACTTCAGGCTACAGATTGCCATCACTTTGTTGCTCCAATTTCCCCCATTGATTACCTGTATGTGCGGTGCAGCTCCATCACCTTATCCTCCAGCTCTTTGCTCTGTCCGGGGGCCAGGCTCAGATCACTTACATAATCCTCTCCATGGAGCTCTGGGTCATACTCTCCGAGCTCTGACTGGGCTGTGTAGGAGCCCAGCATGGACAGTGTGACAAAGGAACAGGGAAGAACAGCTCGCATGATGTCCTTCCTCAGCTGGACACACAGAAAGTACCTGGAGAAGACGTGAATAGACAACAATTAGCTCACTTATGAAGATTTGAAAAGTATATTCTGAATTTACTATATTGTTGATGGAAACACAAGCTTTCGACTTAGCTGTGAAGTTGAAAGCTACGTTTAGGTATTTTTTGTATAATGCTAGCTTAGCTTAGCATAAAGACTGGAAGAAGAGGCAAACGAATAGCCTGGCTCTGTCCTTAAGAACAATCAGCTTACCAGCACCTCTCCAAATAACATGCTAAATCACATAGAATAAGCATTTTTTTTCAAAATCCAACTATTCCTTTATTAATATATTATTAATAGATATTCACCTGGTGAGGTCTTCGGTAAGCTGGGCTGGATCATGAGGGTAGAACTTGACGCTGAATGTAAACTCATACACAGCGCCTGGAACCTGTTTCCGGATCTCTTTGGTAGACTCCATCCATGTCTGCGGAATACATGTGGGGTAAAAAATAAACAACTGCTCACAGCCAATTTCATTGTCACTCATAATAAAGGGTTATGCTTTTGCAGAGTAACTTTACTGCAGGGAGTAGAAAAACCTACACAGGTGGATGGGTTTTCCCAGTTGGCGAGGCCAAAGTAGTCCCTCTCCAGCAGGTTGACATGGTCGCACACCTTTGTAAGAAGTTCTTGGGCTTTAGCATGTTTCTACACAAGAAAGAAAGAGAGACAGACAAACAGGGAGAAGGAGATTATTTAGATAACATCACCATTTGATTCTTTAACGCGGATAGTAGCCATTGGTATAAACATTCAATAAACTGAAATTTGGGAGGTCTCTTACATCAAGCTCACACTCAAACTGAGTGTCGTCCAGTAAGGTGACTTTGCATTGCATGGTTTTCAGACGTTTGGGGCCTTGAGCCTCTTCTTCCTTTGTCTTCTTCTCTTTTACAGGCTTCTCCTTCTTCTCCTCCTCCACCTTTGTCTTCTCCTCCACCTTTGTCTTCTCCTTTATCTTCTCCCTTGTCTTCTCCTTCGGCTTCTCCTTCGGCTTCTCCTTCGGCTTTTCCTTCGGCTTCTCCTTTGCCTTCTCCTCTCCTTTGGCTTCTATCTCCTGTTCTGCGGGTTCTTCCTCTTTTTTCTCCGTGTCCTCCTCCTTCACTTCCTCCACAACTTCAGGCTCCTTCTTTATGGCAGCTTCTTCCTTTTGCTCCTGCTTGTAGAATAAACACGGAACATATCAAAAGAATAAATAAGGGGAATGACTAATTGCTTTGGGACAGCTCAACAATTAATACACAGTCTACCGTTAATAGAACACAGTAAAGATACTGCTGTTAGTGCTAGCTGCATTTTAAGAACAGCATGGATCGTTTGTGTCAGGCCAAGCTTTCAGCTCAGTGCACCACAGTTACTTCGCTGAGCAAGCTGTCCACATCATAAATAATTCATAAGAAAGAAAAAAACATGTGCTCCTCTACTACAATCCAATCTGCTGTTGTATACATGAGAGCTACGTCTTTGTGTCCTTAATTCTCACTCTAGTGATTGAATGAAACGTTTTTTCCACATTTTGGGAAAAGCAAGTTCTTATAAAATGAGAAGATCAATACCACTCCTGCGTCTGTGCAATAAATAAGATGCTACAGTCAGCAGCAGGTTAGCTTAGCATTACAACATATACTTCATTCACACCAACGCAACTCCGGTTCAAGCTCCGTGCTAGAGCTTTTCAGGTTCAGAACCGGTTCTTCGGTTTAGCTCCAGCTCTTTTCACACTGCCCAGAGTCCGACTGGTGCTGCGTCATTGCGTTATCGTTTGCGTGCCTGCTTTATGAAGCCAAACCGCGCGGAAACCCCTCACAGCTCACACCGACAACAACAACAATGGCCGATTGTGCTCCAGCTTCCTCTGTACCTCTTCGGTAGACCAGATTCCCAGTAGGTAGCTGGTCTCTTCAGTGGACCACTGCTGCTTGTTAAGTTTCTTCATCATTGTGTACAAACTGGATAAAACGCCGGCTTTTTGTTGTTCTTCAGGAGCTGATCCCGCCCCTGCCCCTGCCTCGACGTAAGCGTGACGTATGCAGTGCTTTTGGGTTATGGCTAGAAAGGATCCGTCTTGTGTAAATATGACGTCACGTTCTCGTTGTAACTCTCGTTGTAATCGGAGCGGCTCGGAAACACATCTACAGCAGTAACATGCACATTAATGCAGCAGCAATATTAATAGAGAAACATCAGACATAATAGTGAAACACTGAAAGGGAACATTTTATTGCACCAGGAGCTATCTTGGGACTTTTACTGTGACAACGTTGACTTGCCTGTGAATAAAAAATAAACCATAGTGTTGGTGATCTACAGTTTTGTCATTCTTCTTTGAACAGCAAGACCGCTAACACCCTATTTCAACAATAACACTCCCTGTCATTGACATCATTAATAGATTGTTAAGCTTCTCACCATCATTTGCTGTGGCCCACTGATGTTAACGATCGTAACTGAAAGGCTGCCTGCCAAACGTAAACATTCAGCCACGTCACTTGCAAACTCTCGCGAGAGTTTTACACTAGACGGATCCTTTCTAGCCGTAACCGTGCTTTTGCTCTGGCTGGACAATTTTTTGGTGCTCGAAATAAACCGGATTCCGGAGCTAAGAGGCTGCTCCGCTGCGGTGTGAAGAGGAAAACCCGGTGCTTTTCAAGCTCCAGCTCCGAACCGGCCCTGAAACACCGTTGGTGTGAATGAGGTAATAGAAAGAAGTTGGAAACAGCTAGCATGCTCTGTCCAAAGATACTTCCTATCTGCGCCTCGAACGCTCACTAATTGGTTTGACATGCTTTATCTCCCTTGTTTAAACTGAACAAAAACCAATGTGTAAAAACAGCAGGGGGTTAATGAATGTGCGTGAATATTTCTTGGCCAGGAGTGGCAGTCTCCTGGAATGTTATTATCCAAGTGCCAACTCTGGGTCACTTCTACCGTAAAGGACATAGTCTGGCACAGTAATAAAACACGTACTTGTTACTTTTTGTAGAGATTAAACAGACAAGACAACATGTGTTTATTACGAAGCTTTGGAGAGGCTGGCAGGGTGATTCTGTTCTCTTCGGACTCAATAAGGCTTACTGTTTCTCTCCCTTTCCAGTCTTGGAGCTAAGCTAACTGTAGATGAACAGAACGATATGAAAGTGGTATCAATCTTCTCATCTAAGGATGTCTGTGTTGGCGATATATGTGTCGGTGTCACACTCACCTGGTTCTCTGCGCTGCTTATCGAGTGCTGATCTGGAGCCTGTTCAGTGTCGGGCTCAGTTTTTAGCTCGGGCTCTGGAGCTGCGATGGGAGCTTTGACCTGCTCCTCACTCGGCTCACTCGGCCCTTTCACCTCCTTCTTTCCTTTTTTCTTTTTCTTCCCCTTGACCTCCTCTTTTCTTTGCTTCTCTCCTGTCTTTTCCTCCTCCTGGTCTTTCACCTTGACCTCCTCTTTCACCTTGACCTCCTCTTTTGGTTTCTCCTCCTCCTCCTTTTTAGTCTTCTCTTCTCTGGCTTTCTCCTCTTCTCTCTTTTTAGTCTCCTCTTCTCTCTTTTTAGTCTCCTCTTCTCTCTTTTTAGCCTCCTCCTCCTTTTTCTTAGCTTTTTCCTCTTCTTTCTTTTTAGTTTTTTCGGCCTCTCTTGCCTTCTCTTCTTCTCTCTTCTTTGCCTTTTCTTCTTCTCTCTTCTTTACCCTTTCTTCTTCTTCTGCTTTCCTCTTAGCTTTTTCCTCTTCCTTTTTCTTTACCTTATCATCCTTTTCTTTTTTCTTTACCACATTTTTGTCCACTCTTTCCTCCTCCTTACTTTCTTTCTTTGCGGCGTCTTCCTCCTTGTCTTTAACTTCAGCGCTTTCCTTTTTTTCTGCTTCTTTTGTCTCCAATGTTTCCTCTTTCTTTTCTACAGTCGGCTCGGCTTTCTCCTCTTCCTTTTCCTCCTCTTTCTTTGCCTCCTCTTTTTTCTCCTCGTCGTTTTTTACTTTGTCACTTTTCACTTTCTCCTCTTCACTTTTCACTTTCTCCTCTTCACTTTTCAACCCATCTTTCTTTTCTTGTTTCTTCTTGGCCTCTTTCTTTTTCTTTTTACTGCCCTTCTTTTCAACCTTTTCTTTTTCCTCTTTTGGTTCTTTTTCTTCCTTCTTTTCCACTTCTTTCACCTCTGCTTCTTTCTCCTCTGCTTTAGCCTCGTTCTCCTCACTTTTCACCTCTTCTTCCTTCTCCTCGTTTACCTCATCAGATGTGTCCTCTCTGTCTGCCTTATCCTCCTTGGCTTTCTCCGCCTCAAACCCCTCTCCCTCAGAGCACTGTGAACGGCGCTTGAGGAAAGAGGAGAAGAGGCGAGACAGGCCCTTGCCAGCGGAGGTCCGGGTGCGGGGCTTCAGCTGCTCCTCCTCGGGCGAGGTAGCTACGTCAGCAGGCCCAGACTCGGAGGCCTGCTCCAATGCCTCCTTACTCGACTGCTCCCCCTCCGGCTCGGACGTGGCCGCCTCCGGCTTCTGTTTGTTCTCTGGTTCTGGTTCAGGTTCGGGCTCGGCGCCACTGGCCTTCTGCTTGCCCTCAGTGTCCGCCTCGCTCACTGCACTTGCCTCTGTTGTCATGGTAGCCACTGGGAAGGAGAACAGAAGAGAGTCAAAGGTGGAGGAAGGTCATGGTGCTTTACAGTGTGACGGTGCACATCATCATGGCTATACTTGGTACACAACAAACGAGATTAGGAGAAGTAGGCTATTAGCACAATAATTACTTTTCACTGTAATTTCACAATGTAATATTTTGGATATTCAAAAGCAGTTTAATTCATATTGAAAACAATCATTGCACAAAAAGCATGTCCTGATCCGATCACATTTTTTATAAAATCTTTTTATTATTTTATTTAATGTTACAAAACAAAAATGACCATGTTCAAGTCTTAAAGTCATCCTGAGGCCTTAGTTTTGGTTTAAAATTACACAACATCATGTATGTGTTGCTTCTTTGGGGCTTGTTTTCATAGACCTGGTTGCTTATTTCTCTCAAAACTGGCAACAGAGTGGGCAGGGCGCAGTGTCTAATTGTAGCAGTAAGCTAACGAGCACTGATAAGCTTTATTTAGTTTTGATCCAATGCTGCATAACTGAACTGATCCAATGCTGCTGTGAAAGAAAGAAGCTATATCCATGTTGGATAGAATATCAATTTAAATAAAAAAATAACCTTAAGGGACAACTTGAATGCTTTTTTCATTTTTTTTCTCTTAATGCATTGCATAAAGATCGGATTAGGAAAAATTGGTATCGGCAGATTGTCAAAATCAAAGGATCGGAATCGGATCGGGAGCAAAAAAAGGTGATCGGGACATCCCTAGCAAAACTATCAAAACTTCTACTCTGCTCAATCCCAAATGATCAGCAGAGGCTTGTATTTCTTTTTTTAGGAATTGTATTGTATTATCCAAATAGGGTAATATATATGCATGCATTATTATCACTAATAGCCGGGTCATTTACCATAAGTAAATAACAAATTAAAGAATTTAAATTGCTGCTTTAATGTATTGTTAGCTGCATAATCTGAGTGGCATACATGAGACTTTCTCCATAAAACATGAAGCCAACTGCCACCCACAGATAACTCACACATACACAAAGACAAACACCACTTCATCACACAATAGCCCTCCTTGTTGAAGAGTATGTCTGTGTCTACATAGAGTTCTGAAAGTGAGTTCATCACAGACTCATTAAATCTCACTGACACAAAGGAGGCATTCTGCTCTGGAGCTGCATATTAGCAGCTTCTGAATCATCCTCACCAGGCATGCCCTGCGCCCTATCTCACACACGCCCACCCTGCACAGGTCATATAAGGCACTAGGGCGATATTGGCATTATATGCAGATATAAATTGGTTAATCAATCTTTTCAATCAATAGTTCTTGGTGGATGAGGTCACTTTGGGGGGTGCTGCGAAGCAATGAGCAGAAAAATACAGGGGATATAAGGAAATATGTTACCTTCTGTTTGGACTGCAACTAACAATTATGATCATTATCCATCAATCTGACAATTATGTTACATAATAATCGGCTGTTACAATTGATATAAGTCTTTAAATATTTTGTTTTGTCAGTCTAAAACCCCAAAATATTCAGCTTAATATAATATAAAACTGCAACAGCGATGGGAGATACCAAGGCTGCTTTAAATATGTAACAAACAGTGCAATCGTACTTGTCTAAGTAACTTATTATACAATGATGTGATTTAAAGTCACAGCAGAAGGGACTTGAACACGACTTTGATTCACTAGTTTGGCAGCGAGAGGGCAGTTCTGGTATATTTAGAAACTTTAACGAGCTTATTAAAGAGCGCAAATCATTATGCAATCCTCACACCTTCCTTATATATCTGTTACAGTAGTTCTCATAACAATCAATGTGTGTCCTCATTCAGACCGATCCACATCCCGTCTGTATCCCGTCTGTCCTGAACTAGGCATTGTCTAATTGGTGACGAATGTGTTTGTCTCTTCCATATGTAGTTCAAGTCCCACCCTGCCTTATATGAATTGGGGGAGGGGGATGCTAGACAAGCAGACAGGCAGCCCGATCTTCCAGATGTACAGGCCGTCCCAAAGGGTGCAGGCTGGCCCTCTATACCATACACTTCCTACTGGCACTGCGGGACAGCAGGAGGGGAGGAGGGGTACGCACACAAACCAAATCCTCTTTAGCCCTCCCATTGTTTGTGTCCAGTGACCAATAACTGTGCTGCACACTATAACTAATCCTGCCTACCCTTCCCCCCACAGGACCCCCCATCGGCCTATTCCCTAGGTCACCACACACATACACACATACGCACACACCGGTATGCATCAATGCCCACGAGCTCCTTTGGGTCTTTTAATGCTCTGTCATCTCAATTGTGATTGTCAGGGCACAGACATGCTCCTAATGGACCAGCTGAGCTTGTGTCTGCTGCCTCCTCCATTTTGTGTTGCCAATCTAACATCTCTGCTATCTGCCAGCTGAGCAGGGCTAACCTGCATCAGGAGCCATTGAGATTATGTCTTTCTTAAAAAGCATCAATCTCTCAAAATACAATGCACTTGCTTGGTTTGGAGGTAATTAGATGAAATATAGCTGCTCTGTAAAATAAATCTGCCCTCCATCGTGCATAATTAGCGGCTCTAATTAGCTAAATTATAAATGAAGTAGGCCACCCTCTAGCAAGAGTGAGCTCTCTGCTCTGAGCTGCTGGATCAGGTGCAAAAGCCAGGGCTGGAGGGGAATCAGGATTTGATTTAACGTTTATGTGACTATCAATTGAATGTAATGTTCCTACAGGGAGATTTGAAATGTGATTAAACAACTGATTTACATTGGGTTCAAATTAATTAATTAATTAGATTAAACAGTTTGACCCGTAATGTATTAATTATTCTCATTAAAATGATGCAAAAACAAAGGTCCAAACCAATGCTTAACCATTGACAAAACCGGTTCAATTCATTTATATTACCATTAAATCCAAGTCTCCAGTTTAAAAAAAGAAGCAATTTAAGCAATTTCTAGATACCAAGACTCTAATATTATTTGCCAGTGATGCTGAAGAGCTGCTGCTGCTGCTGCTGTGCGTGTGTGTTAGTGTGTGATGAAATGAGACGAGAGCAGAATGGGGAGAGGAGGAGGTATAGTATATAAATAGCTACATGTCTTTAGGATGCTGGGGCTCATTAGCCCTTTACAGACAAGCGCATATCTATTTCTGTTCACAGTGCGCTGCACACAACACGCATATGCACAGCCGCAAATGCATACACAACAATAGGACTGTTTAAAAAAGACGACGGGAAATATTTGATTTGTTTTGAGTGAATTCCCCAGACACTGGACACTGCAGAATGGAGTTCCACAATAACATTACCCTGCAGCAATATAGGGACAAAAAGAAAGCATGTTTCCTCGCTACGGAGTAGGCTTAAGGAATTAGAAGGAGTTTAGAGTTAATCGTCCCCCAAGTGACCAAGTGAGATTATCTCCAACCATCTACCTGCCTACAGTATCCATCTCACTCAGTATCAGTGTGTCTCCCCCCTCTGTCTCTCGGGTCTGCCGCTCTGGATGTGCATGCATTCTCGTGTGTGTGTGTGTGTGTGTGTGTGTGTGTGTGTGTGTGTGTGTGTGTGTGTGTGTGTGTGTGTGTGGTAGAGAGGGTATGAAGAAGCGCTTTGGCTATCAGCTGTGCTGATTCATGGTTTTATGTGGAGCCCCGCCTACCTGGCTTAAAATCAACAGAAATAAACAGAAAGCCAAAATATCAGTCCCCTGGCCACATGGTGGCTCCTATGAACCTCTCTCAGTAAACACAGGCACACATGCCAACATACACGCAAACACGTGCCTGGATAAACTGTTCATATGTTCAGCTGACAGACCCAATCTTGCCCAACAACTTTGTGAAAACAAACAAAATAGGCGAGCAGGCCCCCAAACGCAAAATCATTATAGGGTACGTCATGTACTCCTTATTGAAGGATCCTTAAAGGTAAAATAAAACTGCCTGCTTTTAAGATTATGATATGTTGAGTGACTAAAACTTCAGGATCAAACTTTGTATGAAGCATTGTAATCATGGCTTCTGTGATACCATTACTCTTGAGAGTACTCTGTGATAGACATTGGGCTACAAAAGGTTTATTTTAGTCAAGTCCTCTTTGTAAACCTATCCCAAACCCTTCCCTGATCAATACACACAGATGGTCTGTGAGCATGATGCTGTAACATGAACCGACATGGGAAAAGAATGAAGTAGCTTGATTGATTTACTGTGGTTACCCTGAAAGCAATTCTGAATCTGTTTCCAACATCCCCTTAGACCAAGCCCATTGAAGAAATACTAAACCTTAGTGCACAATTTGAAAGAAATGTTAATGTTTAATGTTCTACACGCACAAAAAAACAGATTTGTGTCTTGAAAGTGAGATTTATCAGTAAAAGGATTTGACAAATGAACTCAATACTTTTGCAATTTGCTATTATTTTTGTAAATGTTATGTAAAGTTAGATTTGATAAAGGCCTTCAAGCTAGAAGCCACAGACTCCCTCATTCTTAAAGAAAAGAGCAATGGACTGTTTATGTGTTTACTTGTAAGTGAGTATTTAATGATGCTCACACAACAGAGTAGTCTAACTGCACAAATACATCATAACTCCCAAAAGAGGATTAACATCAGCAATCTCTTCTGGGTCCTCGCTGACCTCCCTCTCACACAGCAGACCCAAACACATCCTTCAGCAGCCTTGTGTTTACAACAGTGATGATTCAGCAGTACATGAGATCCAAGCACCCAGATTGTATTTTACCTGTCATAACTTTTGTACCTCTATGTTGACTTCTGTTACACTTGCCAGTCCTAATGAAATAATGCCACCCATGGCTCTTTCTCATCCTTACCACGTCATATGCAGCACTACATAAAAGATAATCTGACTATATTTATCCAGCTGTATCATCAAGGGAGGCTTATTGGAGGAGTTTCTCCTAATGTGTGACACAAATTCACATATGGCGCCCTCAAGCAAAGATGGATATTTTTTACCTTTACTATCCTCTCGAGGGTAAAGGCAAGTCTGGTCAAGCAGAATAAATCAAATTCAAAAGCACTGCCATCTCTAACATAGCATGAAAAAATATATCTGAAAAGACACATAGCTGTGTAACACAAGTCACAGAAGCATCCAAACCAAGAACCTCCTAACACGAAGAGCTGCATCATGAGGAACACTGACTATTTAATATAATAATTATGAAGGGATACAATACGGCAATCATGTTATTTTCAGTCAGGTCATAACAATATATTGGGGTTTGTTTCTCTAATACATCATATATTATAATAATAATTGTATATGATCTGACCTCTTTGCTGTACTTGTACGTGAAGATGAGACATAATGTATCACCCTTTACCGAAGTTTTCATAAAATAAACAAATTTAGTGCCATTTTTTTGTAAACAGGTAACTTGCATGTCCACTCATCTTTACAAAAACCACACATCCTCAGCTTACGCAGCACTTGTGATTTATCGGGATGTTGTAAGACAGCGAGTTGCTGTTTTAATTGTGCAAAAGAAAGGTTTTATAAATGCAATTTGCTTTTACAAATCACCGTTTAAATCTTACACAGTAATATAGTCAAACATGACTTCCATTTCCAACTTTGTTTCAATATAACCGCACAAATAGTTGCCGGCTGTATCGAGCCGGCGTGTCGGGGTATTTAAACAATCTGTGTACGAAAATGGCGCCGAATGTACAACAAAACAAATAAACACCAACTCATCCCCACCGCGCCACCAACACACATCTTACATTTGGCTTACCTACTGCAGAATTAGCATCAATGGGAAAGCAAACGCTATAAAAATCCGACAAAATCCTTTATTCCGCACGTTCAGAGTAGAAACAATGTTGCGGAGCGACACATGCTTTGTTGTGCTGAAGGTGTCCGACGCTCGTAAAGGGGAGGAGTCTCGCTCCGAGGCTCGGACCTGAGCTGACCAACGGAGCACCGAGCAGCTCACAGCCACATGCCGGGGTGGAGGACATGGACACAACTTTCATATAAAGCTGCTAAATATTGGCCTATATGTCAAAGATATGTTTGGATGCTGCAGCAAGACAACCTTTAAAACACCCCACAGTTTTTCAGAAGTATGGAAGATAAACGACAGATTTCTATGCATATCAGTAGTTTTTGCTTTGAAACAACTAATTACTATGTTGGTACAACACATAAAACGTTCTTACAAACGTTCCAAATAGGCATGGAGAATGGGGGCCAAAGAGTACAGTCATTAACACGGTACAATGTCCAGAAACAGGAGGGGGGCTACAGGAATATTCCTCAGAGTCCTGCCCAGTCTTTTCAGGCAGCAGCGTGGTGCATTCATGTGCACAGTATGAGGTTGTCAGGACTACAACTACGAGCCAAATGGTGAGATATTAAAAGAGACACCGTTTCAAAAACACTAGAAACTGTCCAACAACCTATCCTACCTCAACCTCCTATGTAAAAATAAAATAATGCAGCAGCACATGTGCGTCCGCTCATGTGCAAACACATACATACAAGCTGTCTTTATGGACCCCACCCATCTGCCTGACCCCATTAGGCCCATACGGCTCATGGGCTGAAAAGGGGGGGGGGGGCGAGGGGGATGTAGAGGGGTTCATTATTCTCACAGCTACACTAAGGCATCATCACCTTTGTTTCACAGAGGAAAGTTAATGTGCCATGCATAGCACTGTCACATGTAATTTCTGTGCAATATTATGTGTAAAATATGTTTATAAAAGTCTTACCAGTAGAAATATGAGTCCGTAAATCTTTCATAAAGTCCAAAAGAGGTATCACAAATCAATGCAGACATCAAAGCACAGAAACGTAAACCTTCCGTCTTGCACAGTATCGGTTGGTGATCATGTTTTTGTCTTTAGACTTTGATCACTGAACACAGTGATGACACATAAGCAGCATGATGACAACTGCTAATGTTAAACATTAACTGTAACACCGCTGGAAACATCTGACGAATCCCAGCGGCTAGGAAGAGCTACTTTTAGATAAAGTTCTGCTTCAATTTGGGCTTGAATGGGAAAGTGAGAGAGTTAATTGAGAGACAATATAAGATAGAGAAACAAAGGCTCCATGAACTACTCGCGTTGCCTTCAGTTGCTTAGGAACCCCTGCCCTGCCCTGTTCCTACTGCAAGGAGCAGGTGTTGAGCTGGACCCAGGAGAGGGAGGAGAAACAGAAACGAGAGGGGAGGAGAGGAGGAGCAGCACTAACAGTCCCTCGAGACGTTGACAGACTGGAACCACAGACTCTGAGACGACACACACTGACGCGCACTTTCTGTTTCCCCCATCACTCTTCCTCATTTGCTCAAAAGCACAGCCAAACAGGCAAATGAGATGCTGCAGTGCATTGCTCCAGCTGAGTGCATGGGGGTTGTATTTGTTTGGAACATCTTTATCCCTATCTGGCACCATCACTCAGTGATTACATAATGTCCAATACCACTGGCACCCAATTCATCTCTCTTTGACTTTCAATACTGTATCTGGGTACACATCACACACACGCACACCACGCAGCCTTCCCTCCGGTATCTTATGTAAAACAACTTGTGCAGCTTTAAAAAATGCTTCAAATATGAAGTATAAGTACATGTGATGGAAGCATAGTTTCAGGGGGTTTATTTGTGCTCATGAACAGAGCTCTCAAAAGCACTAACGGGATTGATGGTAGCAGTGCATCAATATTCATAGTGCACCATTATGTTATGAAAAATTCATGAACCAGGAATGTTCCATGTTTCAGCTCCTTTCTGCCAGCAGACATGTCCCCTATCCTTCTTGTCTTATAGGCCACGTTTGAATTTTCCCCTTCATGCACACCTAAGATAATTTAAATAAAACAGAATGATGTTTTCTCCTAGGGGAAGAGTCAGGACATGTCTATGTTGCATATTATGTGCCTCCTGTGCTATAATAGAGAGAATAGGGCAGGACAACTTTCCCCAAAATAAATGAGTCATGGCTTTTCTGCAGCTGGTAGACAGATTGGAAGTGAAATGCTTATATTAATATGCATACGCTTGGATTGTATCTGAGATCTCTTAATAAAAAGCTGTAGGCCTACCCTTGGGCTCACGGTACGGTGAACAGATTGTGTCGGACATTCTAGGCCACCTAAGCACACGCTACAAATGTGTTGATCATCTGATGCTACTGTAAATAGACATGTTTTCTTAGTTTACACTGCCCCCTGATGGACAGATGGCAGAATCCACTTATACATGTTGTTTCATTGACTGACTAGTTAGTGGGCCAGGTCTGAAATAAAAACATTTTTATAAACATTTATATCTTCTCTACTGACACTTTCAATACCCACTGCAATCCGGGTAAAAATATGTGAACTTAGAGTCTAACAATAAAAAAGCTTCCAAGTGAAAGACCAAACTATTGGTTCTACATTATTTGTTGAGTGAGAGGGAACCCCCGCCAATAATACTCTACGACGTCAATACAGAGTTTCGAGGCATGCTAGAAGCATGTGTTCATGAAAGATAAAGATGTGTTTCGTCCAGATGCTTCAGACTGACACGGTCACACTACCCCTCCCAAAAGTAGTTTGGTGTGGGCAGTTACCAGCAGGTCAACAACAGTAGGAAAGCGTAATTTCAGCAAATAAACTTCTAAAAGGGATTCCATCCCAATCTATTTTTCAGATCTTTTTAATACTGCACTTTAAAAAGGCAAACATCTTTAAATGGCTCTTTACAAAGAAAGTACAAGAAATAGTCCATGGTATAGTAGAGAAATAGTATTCCCACGCAAATGGAGTCAGAATCATGATAGAAAAGCATTTTAACCAGCAGATACATTTTAAATAAATTATAAAATGGATAAAGAAGATACAGAGAAGGTCTGCACTCAGATGCCAGGAAGATTGGCAGGTCAAATAGAAATCTTGAGAATTAATATTCTCTAAAAAATAATAAGGACTTCATCGAATCTTTGCATTCATAAAAATGAGATGCGTCTTTGCAGCTGCATGGAAGCTGTTTTGTTAAAGTCATTATTTGCAAAAGCTTAAAATCAATTTGTGGTACATTAAGAGGGAATCATTTGTATATGAATTAAGGTAATATAATTGTTAGTGTTGTATGCCAAACAATACCAATTGCCTTTGTCACACTTATACAAATATAGAAGATACTCACAACATGTCAACGTTGAAGATTTTTGGCGACAATCCGAGACCAGGTTAGAAGCAGGGAGAAGGAGGAATGGAAAAAAAGTGTCAGTTCAGAGAAATACTATACTAAATTCAAATTCATTTATTCGTGTTAATTCATGGGTTTATAAAATATACTCAAAAGAGTGACAGCACACAAGGTTCGATGAGATGTAGGTGTTGGCTGAATTTTAAAATTGTTTAAAATTATTAACATAGAATAATTATCATATCTCAGTTTGTGTTTATTAGTTTATTTCAAAACTCAAACAAATAATATAAAGGTGGTCAGTAAAATCATCATTGAGTGGTCCACCCTCTAGTATTTTTGCTTTCAATTGCTTTTAGTGCATATCAATTTGCTCCTTTTTTGTCATTTCCTTTGTCAAAAGTACCTTCTTATCCATCCTCGAATGCTTCCAAGCAGGTTACTGTTTTGCAATTGATACAACTCATAATGATGTTCAACATTAGTATACATTTAAACATCCGAAGACATGTTCTAGTGTTACATTTAACCATGCTTTTTTCTTATTAAATTAATAATGTACATCAAAAACGAATTTATAGCTAATGGGCCTGAATCAGAAGATGAATAGCTCTTTGAAAGTATGGCAAATAGTGCTAGCACCCATAAACAGTGTATATAAACAGGTAATGGATGACTCAAATCAGTTGTTTTATCAAAAATAATTATTACCAACACTTTTCTTTAGATTTCCTTTTCTGTTGTCGGTATACTAAATAGATCCATGCAAAGGTAGGCCTACATCATTCATAGGACAACCTGCCTGTTTAGCTGTGGTTGTGTTTCCTTGTTTATAACATTTTAAACTCGGTATCTTTATTTTACAAAGTATGAAGGGCCTGGAGTCTCTGGGCTTTTGAATGCAACCTTACAACAATCATTTGGTAGACATTTCTGTTTAATATTGTCATGCCTTCGGCAGACTACAGGAGGCTAGATGTATAGTTCCTTATTCCCCAGGTAGCTAACAGCAAAAACATCTTTGACATAATCCCTCTAAATACGGTTCAGTGAACTCTAAACGAACTGCCGTCGCGAGCAGACGCGAAATGAAAAGCCTCGCAGGAATAGCTATGTAAAATGTAAACACAATAGCGTGCAGGCGAGTCATACCTGAGCAGATAGATGTCTCTTCTGTGCGTTTCCTCCACTTTCAATTTGTTTCCATAATCCCCGTGTTTCTATTCAGAACAAATTGGAGACTCTCGGCCAGGTTTCCACAGAGAGGCGGTGTCGCAGCCACAATGACGAAGCACTAAGTACTGATGGGTGGAGTGGAGGTGGGAGCGTTACTTACAGAGGTGGAAACACTACTCAGATCTTATACTTGAGTAAAAGTACAAGCAGAGGTGGGAAGTAACTAAAGTAGGCTACATTTAGTCGAGTACTGTACTGAAGTACAATTTTAAGATACTTGTACTTTACTTGAGTATTTCCATGTTATGCTACTTTACTTCTAGCCGACTCCACTACAATTCAGAGGTAAATCGTGTACTTTTACTCCACTACATTTATTTTGTAGATTTTGTTACTTTGCAGATTTTGTTTAATGATGTCAAATAAAATCAACACTTAAATAAGACTTTAGTTACACCTGGAGTAACATTCACAAGCTACCCTGCAGTATACAAAGTAACGCTGCACCTTTACCAGGTTTGATAACATTTTAAAGCATCAACAATTATGATCAAAAGATATAATGTATATTATTCTGAAATGGAAATTTGCATAATAAGTACTTTTACTTTTGGTACTTTTAGTATATTTTTATGGTAATACTTTTGTACTTTCACTTGAGTAACATTTTGAATGCAGGACTTTTACTTGTAACAGGGTATTCCTCCACTCTGGTACTCCTACTTTTATTCAAGTGCAAGATCTGAATACTTCTCCCACCTCTGAGTACAAGAGTGTAGGGATACTCTCCTACAAATAAAGGTCCTGCAAACAAAAGGTTACTCAAGTAAAAGTGCAAAAGTATAAGCATGAAAATATACAACAAGTAAAATAACTTATTATGCTAAATGGTACCTTTCAGAATAATATATATTATATGTTTTGATTATAATTTAAACCAGTTCTAAATAATCCTATTTCCCTCAACACAGATGGATATGCATTTAAGGCATCAGTTATAGAAGATTGTTCATGTTGGCACAAAGGATTCCTTCTTAAAATATCACCTGCAAAAGTGCAAAAACAGGTACAGCAGCATGCGTTTATCTGTGTAGTTTCAGAATCAGTGCCTGGACATCAGAGGAATGTGTGGTCAAATATTAAGCTATCATTAAACAAAGGCAAACGTTGTGCCAGTGAAAAGTCAAATACAACTGATAGGAGCAAAGTCAGAGCCACCAGTCAAAGTTGAGACATTTCTGCAAATGCTTTCCAACTCTGCTGGTGGGTCCACACGGGGTGCTGTTGTGTGTTTACATTTGTAATCTATTGTGTATCTATTAATCTCTGCATCTTTTTTGTTTTAAAACACTTAGACATGTCTTTAGCAAGTAACAACATAAGAATACAAATTGTTACATTAACATGTAGTTCCAGTATATCCAAGGATTAATAATATAGGTAAACTCTATTACTGATTGGTTCCTAGACGATCACCTTCTTTTTCTTTATGATGTCATGTAAGTAAGGATCAAATGGCAATGTATTACTTATAAGTTTTCTTACTGATTATTGTGAATCCCCAAATATAAATTAGAGCCCCTTTACCTCTCAAAAATGTGCTCTGCCGATTGTGACTTGACATGGATGTGTGAACAATTCCAAATAGAAATATCTGCTTTGTCAAAAAGGGAGAAAGATTGGAGTATGAAAGTTATTTAAGGATTTCTTCAACACAATTTCAGAAACACATTTATACCAATTGGTGTATCTGTTTTTACATTTTCAAACGATGTGCTATAAATTCATGGTTAATCCTACATTAGTGCATCAGGTGCATACGACAAACACACATATCATTACTCCATTTCATTCTCCCATCAAAAGCACTGTGCATTCCCTTAAGGTGCAGCACATCACTGTCTGGCAGCTGCTACAGCTGGAACCTCTGTTTCAGTATTATACCTATAACGAAACCAAAAATACACTTCCCATGGGCAATACAATAGTGTTTTTTGTAAGCTGACTAATACTCCTTGTGATGAACAATCTGTCCTTAGTATGTGCAGTGAGCCATGATATACTGTAGAGTGCCATAGATAGATAGATAGATAGATAGATAGATAGATAGATAGAGACTAGACTCGAGTGTATTCTTCAAATCATTCATTCTTACACATGCAGTATTCTCACATTGTGGGAAACACCTCTTCACCATTATCATGCAGAGCAGCCAGGATCCACCCAGTGTGTCACACTCAACTCCAGCCTTCTGGATGAAGATAAGAGAAACTGTCATCACCATAAACACACACAACTTCAGTCACAAAATGCAGGCATGCCTCCTCACAACTGTAGCTTATTGAGGGCGTGTTGCCCCCTGTCGGATGTTTCTATAATTGCTTCATTCCGGTATTCTGCATTCATGTAAGAAAGTATAGAGACAGGTTGAATACTTGCATTTTTATTTTATACATAATGATGTATATGTAAATAAGACTGTTCATTATACTGAAAATAAGGGGCGAATATGCTGATTTGGCATCTATAAAAACAATGTGTCACCTGCTTGGAAATGTGGACACCCTTTAAGCTATTTCCATAGTTTTTGCATTTCTCCACTGTTTTTTATAAATAGGAATAGGAATTTGATCATATACATTATATAAGCCTATAAATCAAGTATCTGATGAAATGATGTTTCTGGACAATGGATCTGAGTTTGTGTGAGCGTTGCTTTGTGTTGTACCAGGAAGAAAGCTGAGCGGGTAGGATAAGAGCAGTCCTCTCAGGAATAAAAGCTACACTACGACGTATAGACTAAAGTTATGACTTTAATATGGCAGATAAGGGTCCGTTTTTAACTTCATGTATAATTTTCTACTTGTCGATCGGGGCTGCAATATTTCAAATTCTCGAAGAGCCAAACTGGAAAACAGCCAGAGACGAGTATATCGAACAAAAGAAAATCATTTTGAAGAAACACACCTGTTTAACAGCAGAAAGTCTGGATGAGATTTTGGAGGTATGAAACGTGTTTTAATAGCAGTTTATGACAGGAGATTAACATGACTGAGGTAAGCAAATGTATACGTAACTTTTCGCGGTGATTGACCAACTATACACGTATTGTTGGTAAAAGCATGTATGCTTTTGTTAAGTCACATTAAGTTATCAAATAGCCTACAATACTTGTGAACAACTCACAGATGTTAACAGCTTAATTTGCCTTATTTGACCTTTTATTTAGCCTTGAGTGGTGAAAGAGAAGCTTTTCGTCTTTACATGTCAGGACACACCAGAACCAGTTTTACCTGATTTAACAACAAAACAACCGTATGCTGGCCAAAGCAACCTAGCCTAACTATAAAACCACTTCAATGTTTTTCATGTCATGTTCATTTGTGTTAAAGCCGAATTTCACCGGACATTTTGCGAGCACTCTTGGTTTTAAACAGCACAGTGAGCGTGCATGAGCATGTCTTTCTCCTCCGCACACATATTTGAATGTTTGTTAAGGGTGTGTCCGCTGTAATGGCAGCTGGGAAGTCGTGAAGTTGATATTTTGAATAAGCCATTGTAAACGTTTTCAATAAGTTTGTTTATGGTGTTCTTAAGTTAAAGTAGTTGCTGAAATTATAGGGGGATGTGAATGGGTTTTATTGAGAGTTTACTGTGTCCACTGTCTCAGATAGTGTCAGATGCTGCAGGCCAAGGTGTGACCATCACTGGGGACAAACAGCGGAACACCTGGGACTGGGGTAACTCTGTCATCTTTGCTGCCACCATTGTCACCACCATAGGTTTGTATGACACTGACAATATCTGATAAAAAAAAAACTAATCCTTGTTTTATAAACATATTGCACTCAAAGCAGTTAAAAGTGACGTTACATTTAAAATATTTGGCAACAGAATAAGTCTTGTATACACCTCGCATTATTTATTTATTAACTCACTTTATGTGCGGTGCCACAGAGAAGTGTACTAGTCGATCTTAATGCAACACATAAAGACAGACAACATGTAATACTACCATAATTCTTAATACTTTTTTGGTGAGGTAAGGTATTGTGAACATAAGTCATAAACACCCCAAAACCTTTGTCAACTCTTGAAATTGTCTTGAAGATTTATCAGGAATTGAGAAAACATTAGCCCTGATTAATGAATTACTAAAATCAAGACAATGACAATACTTGTGCTGTTGTAAAGGTTATGTATTAAATTAATTATTTGCAAATGATCAAACTTTGATCTTCCTGCAAAATGAATACTAAGCTAATTAAAAACACTAGAGAAGGATACCAAGTAGGCATTTTTCTTTTAACCTGACAACCCCCATTTTATAATTGTATCCTTAATGCTTTATTTCCCATCTGTAAATGATTGACAAATGATCTAACCATTAATGAAGTCTAGATGTGTGTGTTAATAATAACTCCTGTATTCCACAGGTTATGGTAATGTTGCTCCTAAGACTCAAGGTGGCCGTGTGTTCTGCATCCTGTATGGTCTGTGTGGGATCCCCCTGTGTCTGGTATGGATAAGCCAGCTGGGTTCATTCTTTGGAGACCGGGCCAAACGTCTGTCCCAGGTTTTAATCCACAAAAAAGTTTCAGTGGTAAGAATTGAAATGAAAGCTGGAGTTGGGTTTTTTCTGAACACTGTCAATAAAAGGGCGTTATATTGTGTTATTTTAACATGAAGACCTAATGTGTTTTTTGCTCCCTTTCATTAGAAAAAGGTCCAATTCACCTGCACAGCCTTATTCCTGTTATGGGGGCTGGTCGTGCACCTGGTGATCCCTCCATTTGTTTTTATGTCTATTGAAGGATGGAGCTACCTGGAGGGCCTCTACTTCTCTTTTATCACACTCACAACAGTTGGTTTTGGAGATTATGTGGCAGGTAGGTTTACGTTAGCATAATGTACGTTTTCATTTAAGTTAAGGTTTCTCTGAGGTTATTTGAGGTTCTAAACGTTTTGGTTTGAAAAGAATGTCCTCTGGCTCTCATTTCAGGTGTAAATCCAAACATAGAATATCCCAGGCTGTACAGAGTGTTTGCAGAGTTGTGGATCTACATGGGCCTGGCCTGGCTGTCTCTATTCTTCAGCTGGAATGTCCACATGGTAGTGAAAGCTCACAAAGTGTTTAAGAAAAGAAGGCACAGGCACCGACACTGCTATGATCTGGAACCCGAGCCTGTCGAGGAGAAGCACAATCCAGAATTAAAGCGCTCTGTTATTGACATCTTTAACTTCCTATCAGAGGAGGAGGAAGACTACAGCACTGTCATCAAGGGAATTGGAACCACAGCAAATGCAACACTGCCTGCATACAACATAAATCGCTCTAAGAGCTGCAGCGACATCTTGGCCAACAACATCCAGACCCTGGATCACTCGCCACGTCACAGACGCATGCTGAGCATCAGTGAAGTGTTCATAAATGCTATCGCTGTTGTGGACAAAAGCAAACGCGAGGCGCGTCCTTTAATACAAGATGGCAACAGAGAAACTGAACCTGCACAATGTGTGAGTGCAGATAAGGAGGAGGAAAGTTGTGCATTAGAAAGTGATGGCATATTCTTCACTGTACCCTCGACAAATACTACGGAAGAGGAAATTGTGCAGCATCCTCATGGTGGAGGGACGAGATTTACAATAGCTAAGGTAGTAGAGGAAAATGAGGTTATGGACAAAGACGAAAAAGGATAAAATATGTTCTCATAACTTCTTATACCTTTAACATTATTGTGGAATCAATCAGTCTGTGTTGTTCGAAAGACCATACTATAAAACTATACAAAATACTGTCCTGTAACACGAAACAAACTGCATTTTGTGTTGTTATGCGGTTTCTTTCTTCACAACGAGCCAGTGTCTGTGTTCGGTAAAATAAAACTATTTTGCAAATTGTGAATCAAGATTTTATTTTTGTATCCCATGTCCATCCAAATCCTTTCTTACAACATTAATTTCCTTAAAAATCATTAGATACAAAGTAGACAGATTATTTTAAATCACAATAGAGGGCTTTGTGGAAAATAGATCCAATTAGCAACTTTCCCTCAAAGGGAGCTGCTACAGTGGAGGCGACGAGCACATGGCCGTCATCACCGTACTCCAGGCTCATCACTGGTTTCTCTGAGAGAATGTTCTTGATCCGGATGACCTGGAAGAAACAGAATTAAAAATGATCAGGCAAATTCAAATACAAATGCTAAAATATTGTTTGATTAAAAAGCTAAACAAAAACATATGCCCACTTACCTCAGAGCCAGCCAAATCTTCAGGGTCATACTTCATCAACTTCTGGCCATTTGGATGACAACCAAGCCAAATGTCACCTGTTCTGTGGTCCACCTCAATGTTATCACACAGTGACCCAACAGCTACAGACTGGTTGGAAACATCACAAACAATTCATTGATCATTAAATATCAATCCTCCTGAAATACAGATACAAAGGGAGGAATGTGGATATAATAATAAAATAATGTTTTTAAGGATTATGTTGCAACACACAGTTAAAGTTAATTTTTGGATATGCACTTTAATTACTTTCTTGCCAGAAGTAATATTTAAAGGTGGACACTACTAAAAACTGGAAAGAGCAAGCCCAAAACAAAATCCACTTACTAATACTAACATGTCCAAAGCAAAGGGGTACAACATTTAACAATTTAGGTTTTACTGGATATTAAGCTTAGCTAAAAGGCTGCTAGCTGTAGTATGGGTCTACTATCAGTAAGAAACAAATTAGAGTATTTCCAAAAATGAACATTTCATCTAATTGTTTTCAATAGAAAAAAAGAAAACACTATATTACCTTTAGAAACCTTAATTGTTCCCCTTGTTGTCTTTCATAAACCTTGATGTCATGGCCAACAATGTCTGAAACATAAATATACCTGCGCAACAGAAAATATTTATGTTTTATTATTTTAGCTTTGCAAAGGGAACATATTGCTGTGGAAATACATTCAGTTTAAAAAACAAGCAGATGCAGTGACTGCTGAGATGAATTGAGAATAACCGTTTGTCAGGTGATATGTTGATGCCATTTGCAGACAGAAAGCCATTGGCTGCCACCCTCACTTCCTCAGGGCTGTAATAGACCACCTCACACATGGGGTAATCCAGGATGAGAGTCAAAAAGTGGAGCATATCACTGGCAAAGAAGTGATCATTTGTGGCGTAGAAGCTCTCTTTTCCGACTGCAAGAATGTCATTTACACTGAAAGACACAATTAATGAGATAAAACGCTTCAATAGATTGTCAAATCTAAAAGGTGTGATACTGTTAAAGATTGATCGTACAGTACATACCTGTGGAGTAGGGGGTGGGCTATCGTTTTTAAGTGCACAAGTGTGTCTTCCTGAACAAGATGAAAGATCTCAACTTGGCTTTTGTGTTCCGGGTGATTGACAACAAACAGGTAAACTGAGTCATCTGCAAACAAACAGAAATGTGTCTTTTACTTTTACAGTGCAACAATTTCCATTTATTTCTGACCTCACAGAATGCTGAAATAAAGTACAAAAAATGAAGCTTAACATTTCCGTCGTAGTTGATTTAGTGACACTTGAGGTTATTATGAACACAGTAGCTGGGTTTAACACCACAGACTCCAGAAAAGGTTTTATAGACAGATTTTTGATTAACGATTACAGTCAACTGAGGAGAGTTTCTTGTGGCTGCTTCAAAATAAAAGGTATTTGTCCAGTCTTTTAATGTGAGACAACAACAGTGTGAAATGTTGGGTTACTTAAAGTCCGGGACTAAAGGCAGCTCTGATAAGGAGTGTACACTTAAGTGTAAAACCAATAAGATCAAAGTACAAATAGTATTACTGGATTACATACTGCTAATCAAATCCCCTGGTGTACAGTTTAACCTTTCTGGCTTTCTCCACTACTACCAAAATAAATGTATAAAAACAATTTACTAAATGTGAATGCATTAAACTATTATTGCAGGAGAAATGCAGGATTAAAATAGCCACATAAATCTGTAAAAAATAAGTAAAGAAACTTCCAATTTGTAACTATGCTAAGTTTAGTTTATTGGTTCAGTTGGCAGGGACCATGTACAAAAAGAACATAAATCTCAAAGAGATAAGATGCTTTGTACAAGATTATTGGAGTTTGCTAATTTCCATCTCAAGTCAAAAACCTTTGGTAAAAGCTAAGCAGCTAGTATTAAGCTCCTTGACAAATTGTATTTCCTTTCCTTTTTTTTTAAATATTGCATACAATGAAACGACAAAAGGGTCCTCCAGAGCATTGAATGTAATATACATCATTATAAAACTAACGTTTTTTTTATACACTATTTCATGTTGCCTTTAATGTTCTTGAACAGAACAAACAGAATACCTGAGACTCACTTTCAGTCCATTTCACTTGGTTAGCATTAGATGAATGCTTGTCATAACAACAGTATCCAAAGGACATATTTGAAGTGAAGAACTGGTACTTTATTTGTCTCTTCTAATTTGTGTCTTTTTGATAGTTTTTCCTGTCTTCTTTAGCTTTTTTTGAAACATTGTCCACTTAGATAAAATCATAGGATATGAATTTACAAATTAGAGATGATGAAAGCTCAACCTTAATGTTAACATTGATTTGACAGTTCTGATCATTTCATGCACATCATTTATTTTATTTTTTGTAAGATTTTGCACATGATTTGTGCTTTACCTGCTTCATCAGTGTATACACTAATGCCATGTGGGTTGAAAGAGTTTAGGTCCAGCTCTCCTTTGATCTGCAGCTCGACTGGAGTTGGCTTCGGGTGCAGCAAATCTAAAATGTAAATCTTCCCTGGTTCATCGGAGAACGAAGGAAGTCCAGGGTATTTCAACCCCTGAGTGAAAACACAGCATGTAAGATGTTGGTGCAGAGCGGACATTTTTCCTGAGTAGGTATTTACTTAAAGAAATATGCAAACAAACTGGTATTCACAACCTTTGTTCGGAAAGTTGACCTATGCTTTCACATTTTGTTAAAGAAAACTGAGTATGCAGTGTTTAAGATTCATGCAACAATGCTACAATTTTGTTAACCTACTGTGCTTAGAAAGGCCAGACCGTCTTTCAGTATTGTGATATCCTCTGCCCCATATTCTGCACAAAACAAAATAAGATGTTATCTTTTTCACTAATATAATTTTACAACCCTGGCATTATAGCTGACACTTGACCTACTGCAGGAAACTGGGACTTTAAACTCTTTCTGTATGCTCACATTTGGCATACAAGCTGTCCAAGTACGGAAATGCATTTAAACAGAACATTTCTGACCGTGTAAATGTCCAAGACAATGAAATTAAAATAAAGTTATCTTACCAATATTCTTCAAATATTGACAGTTGAGGTGTTTCACAGGCATTTCCCTCGAAGCAAGCATCATTTCACTGCAGAGAAAAGTTAAAAACGACAAAGCTTTTCATAGGCAAACAAAGCAGAACCTGCTAGTCTAGCAGGGCTTGGTTACAGATATTTTCCCTTCCTGATTGATCTTTTCTTTCTGGATTAAGCAACAGTTGTCAACATTGGAAATAAGTACAACTAAACCTCTATTATACCTCCAAATGTGGTCTCTAATCAAAATTAAAAAGTACTTACTTTACTTTAAGGAATTTGTATCCAATGAAAGCTGCAAAGGCAGCAACAACAGCAGTCAGTACTTTCTTCATGGCTGCCAGGATTACAAACAGACTCTCTGTGCATATAAAGGTCACAAAGGAATAGGTTCAGGGTGCAATTACATAGACACACCAAAGCATGGAAGCAAATAAGAGACAGAAGTATTTGAATTTGATCAGACACCGAATTTATAGCATTGAAAATAATTACTTTGAAAATCTAAATAAAAAGTAGAGCACAGTAGAAGCTTGAAAAGTAATAGTTATTAGTGAATGCTTTAAAGACTTTCTTGTGGGTGGTAGAACTACATGGGTTTTACAAAAAACAATGAAAATACTATTTATTAACCATCATTTAATCTTACTGATTGATATACATGGGTTTTGTGTGCAGTACTTTGTCTGGAAACAGTGTTTCTTCACACTGCGCATGTATTGAACCACAAAGAAAACTAAAGTTGAAGCATGACTGTCATATGGATTGTATTATTAATCTCTTTATTCAAATATACAAAACATTAACAAATATATATGAAAGAAGTCGGTAACATACAGTGCATTTGTGTGCAGTTAGGTGACCAGGGTTAAATATAATTTTCATGATAGAGGTAAGCAAATGTAAAAAAAGAAAATACAATATATTGTTTTCCAAATACCTTTTCACAGTAATACGAGTATCTGGGACGTTCAGTAACTTTGGTTTTTTGTCTACTTTTAAACATGCTCACCCAGTGCTCATTGCTATACAATCATGTTAACACAATTAATGTATCTTAGCTACATCTTAGCTAGTTGATCTTCGGCCTACTCCAAATCACAGCACAAGGTTTTATGGAAAACAGTTCCAATGAGCAACTTTTTCCCATAGGTAGCTGCTACAGAGGAGCCCATGATCACATTGCCGTCGTCCTCGTACACCTGAGTCACCACTGGCTGATCTGAATGAATGTTCTTGATTTGAATGACCTGAATAAAACAAAATCATGAGAAAGAAAGAAATTAAACGAGATGAATATGTGTGAATAGACGGATCTGCTGTTTAGGTAATGAGAGTATTTTTTTCTGTTCTTGTAATGTTGTCAGGCATAATGTACTTTCTAGTCAAAGTGAATGTACAAACCTCTGATCCAGGCGGGTCTGTTGGGTCAAACCTCAGAGCTTTCATTGCATTAGGATGACAGCCTAACCACAGGTCACCAGTTACAGCGTCCACTTCTACGTTGTCACAAAGTGAACCCACAGCCACAGCCTGGTGGAGTATCATAGACAAGGTTAGGATTAATAATGCATCTTGGTGTCATATATCCTTCAATAACTAATTTATCTTCAAATCAATTTGATTTTGGACTTCTCTCCTTTATTGTTTAGCATCAGTGTGCGTGTTTTTTTTTTATTACCAATTTCTATATCTTACTCCTGTTACTTATATTTCAAAGTAAAGACAGTTTAAATGAAAATCTGTTGGTGGCCCTAATACTACAATAATTCATTACAATTAGCATTACTGTTTGATTTGTCAAACGTTTTACTAAAAACTAAAGCACAAGTGTCTTGGTCTGATAATAGCAGAAACAAATAGTGTTTGATGATAATAACTTATCAGTGGGAAAAACTTTAATGTTTTACCTTCACTTGGACCAATGCATTGTCTTCTTTCCGCTCCAACACGTGCACATTGTGGTCTAATAGATCTACCACATATACATGCCTACAAATAAAAAATATATTAAATTAAGAAAGCAAGCCATTGAAAGCTATGAATGACCAAATGCATAGCCCAGGATATAAGTCTTACCTTTTGTCTGGTGAGATATTAACACCATTTGCAAAGTAATATCCCTCAGAGACCACTTTCACTTCCTCAGGACTGTAGTACACAACATTAGTCCAGGGCTGAAGAAGAAGAATCTCCACCAAAGTTTTAAGTAATTCATTGGTAAAGTAGTGATCATTGGTCGCATAGAAGCTTTCCACTCCCACTGCCACAATATCGTTTACACTTGAAAAGAAAATCAGAACAGAATTTAGTTTTTAAATATACAATAATTCATAACGTTTTTAAATAACTGTTATAATAACTAAGGAGAGTTTGACAAATGTTTTTGCATAATGACCTCATCTACATATTCAGTACATCTTAAGTGCAGTTCATGTCATACCTGTGGAGAAGTGCATGTTTTATGGTTTTCAGATGCACCAGTGAGTGGTCGTCCCTGACAAAGTGGAATATTTCGACTTGGCTTTTGCCTTCAGGATGATTAACGACAAACAGGTATATTGCGTCATCTGATGAGAAACAAGAAAGCATTTGAAATAAAACAGCAGGCAACCAAACTGTGAGTGAGTATGTGTGAGTGAGTATGTGTGTAAAAGTAGAAGGACAAGCATGGCTAAGACTACCCTTATTTTAGAAATGAATCAGAATCACATCTCTAGATATTCCTTACAAATCACAACATAATGTCAAACAACTAAATACAATCTGTTCTTTGCAGTTTTTCAGTCAGCTGAACTCTACTTATTTGTACTATCTTAAAATGTATTTAAAAGTGTGCTATTAATGTGTTCCTGTTGATAATATGAATGTTGTTGAATCTGGATTCAAAGGCAGTAGAAAGCGACCATTTGCCCTTAAGGGAATTTCTTGTAGAGACTTGTTTTTGTGGCAAGTGTACAATCACACATAATGCTTTTACCACTGGGATCGGTGTATAAACTGATGCCATGAGGGTTGAATGACTCCAGATCAAAGTTTCTTGGCATGCGCAGCTCAACTGGTTTCATCCGAGGATTTGTCATATCAAGACAGAAGATCTTTCCTGTCCCATCTGTGGATGGAAGTCCGGGATACTTCAGGCCCTTAAAAAACATATATAAATATTATATTATGCACAGTGTTGGAAAAGGTGAAAAAGTCCAGCTTCGGGTCACATTTTAAGGCCTAACTCTTATATAAAAATGGTTTGTCCTAAATGACAAATGTCTGCAGTTTAAGAAATGCTAGCCATGTATCCTATATTTAAGAGAATCCCTGATAGAGCAGGTGATTGTTATTGAAAGTGTGATGGGGAAAATACTGCATTGCTTCACTGCTTTGTCCTTGTGTAGCCATGGTTTACCAGTGTAATGATTCTGTTTGTTTGTGTGTGGGTAAACTCAATATGAACTAACTTTTTTTTTTGTCATTGTGAATTGAATATCTTTGAGTTATGGGCTGTTGAGTAGACACATTTCAAACCAACTCTTCGAGACTGTGATGGAAATGTTTCACAATATCCTTACATTTTATAGACTCAATTATGTATATATGATTCGAGGATAAGTTTGGCATTTTAATCGCTTATGAAAATGATGGTTTGTTGCATCACTAATGAATAACAATGCATTTCATGGAGGCTATTAAAAAGCTTGAACATTTGACATTAAAACAATAAGATTATGTCCCACGTGTTAACGGTTCTGATGACTGACATTTTGTTAGAGTCTGGTCAGAGGGCTTTTTTGTTGACAAGGCTGCTGTGTAATTCACATACTTACACTGCTGATAAACGCCAGCCCGTCCCCAGTGATTGTTATATCCTCTGAGCCATGATCTGAAAGTAAAGTACCGAGAGTTGCACAGTTAACTTCTGCTTATTTTGGTATCAAAAATGTTGCTACATTTTCTTATGGCATGACTTACCTATATTTTTAAGTAAGACACAGTTGGGGAGGTGCTTTTGGGCCAACTCCCTTGAAGCGAAGGCCCTTTTCCTGCAATGTTATAAAGCAAACGTTAGCCTTGATCAGGTGGTAAACAAAAACCGTGTTTGCATGATGAAAACATCGTAACAAACTCCAAAACATTTCGGCATTAACGGAGTTGCTTTGCATTGTACCTTAGGTTTAGGATCCTCTGTCCGAGCACCAACGCGAAGGCAGCTATTACAATCGAGATAAAACCTAGCTTACCCATTTTGGAAAAACGGTATACAAACTTTAAAATGCCACACCACTGTCCCACTACTGCAGCAGCCGAGGCGTGTCCCAACTGGAGCAATGATTGTGAAGGCCGCCTTCACTGACTATTGGAAATATGTGTCTCCATTTTACAAATACGTTACATTCACACATATAATACATTGATATTTGAAAACGTATTGCGCAGCTGCAGGGGAAATGTAGCCTTGTGGTATCTCTTTATTCATAAGATAGAGTGCAGGAAATGTCAAAGAAAATAATTCATCCAAAGCACTTGAACAAGAGAAGTGTTTAGTGTCTGCAATTCCAACACTATAAAAGCACCGGAACTACTTCCGTTGCCAAAGTGTTGCTAAAACAGCTTTAGAGAACATATTATAAAATATATTTTGTGATCAGTTTTCATATGGAGATCATTGGAGTCATCTACTGAATGTATGATTTGTGTTTTTGCCAAACATCTTGAACTCAGATTGGTTTTATAGGTGCTGCCTTTTTTTTCTTCCTAAAATGATCTAAGCACATACTCACCACAAGTTGGCCAGCACTTGACAGACACAGGCTAAGCTCCAAATTGGTTTCATTGCAGTCGTTTCTTTTTAAAGAGCTTTGTAAAAAACCAAAAACAAATATGATGCTTCCATATTTCAAAAGAAAAAGGTACAAGTAATTGCAGTCATTTTGTTTAAATTTAAATGTATGAACATGTATGTAAAAGGTTGCGAAATTAACTATGAATAAACTTTCTCCAAGTAATTAGGTGCCAACATTGTTTCATTGTCATTAAGTAAATGTGTCTTATTGGGATACACTGACTACACTACTCTGCTTTTAATTCACTCATATAATGTGACCAGTCACCAGACGGTATACTCAATAACATGTAGTGTCTGCAAGCCCTGTTTAAATTGTTTATTTTTGAAGTTGTTTTTGTAGGTGATGACTCCTCCCAACATAAAACAAAAAGTTACAAAATTGTCTACGTAATCAAAATCATGTGTAAGAGACTTCATAAAAAACAAACATGAACACATACATACACATATAGAAGTGAAAGTAACATAAAATTGGCAAACTATTGACCCTGTGATACTCAGCATTGGGTGCATGCAACCTGACAGTAACTGTAGAATATCTACAAAAGTCCAATTAAAGAATTATAGCATCTAACAACTTCAAAACACCAACAACTCCTGCACATTACATCGTGTGCAACCAGCGAGCACTGTTAGGTGGGGCACACCAGATTCCCGACTCTTGTTTAGTGAAGTCTTGTCAAGGTTCACAGTGTAATACAGCAGGATCCCCATCAAACAGTTTCAAGCAAGACTGTATATTTGGAACATACAAAATAAATTTTATTATCCATTCTCTTCATGTCTACATCTTATTAGAGTTTCTAGACAATGGCATTGTCAAATAACAC